CAAAAGCAATCGTATATTATAATATTTATAATAGAGCAATACAAGAGCGATTTATTTTTATAATGAACCACAATCCTACAAATGCGCGCGTGTGTGTGTGCCTAGAATAGGTTATTACCTAATAATAATATACCTAACATTATATATTATTTAAAAATTATTATTTAAACTTATTATTATAAATGGCTATATTATTGTATATTTTATTTTCTTTAGTCATAGCGACAAATGTAATAGGTAATAAATAATAATAATGATTTTTATATAAATACATAATATATTTATATATTATATATAAATATTTTTAAAATTTATCTACGATTGTAGATTTAATATAAATTAAATGGATACGAAAATATGTACACAATATTATTCAAATATAATTTATCGTTAATAATATAAGTACATATTTTTTTATTAATTATGTTATTAAAATTATAATTTTTTTTGTTCGTAATACACTTACTATATATACAAAGTACATGGCTTTTTTGTTTTACTTTAGCGGGGTACACATTTCGTTTTTGCAGACCATCTATCATATTTCGAATATAACAAAATAATCATAACGTTTTTCGATTTCGTTTATCGTAGGATAAATGGAGATGTTCGGATCGAATGTAGGAATGTTTTGAAAATGGGATTTGGTGAATTGGCGTCGGTAAGTATATATCGATATTATATATAGCAACGTATATCGTATAAATGGGAAACTATCTAAAGGGCGTACCTACCACGAATTAGACCTCAACTCTTCAATAGTAATCCTCGGAATTCAGGGCTAACTCGAACGACCCCATCACATTTCGTATTATAGCCGCAAGTGCATTATTTCAAACCACGGGACTTATGTCTGTTTTTTAATCTAAATTATGTAATGACGATAGTAATAATAATTATGGATATAAGCAATGAAACGATTTAAAATATTATTTTCTTATAAAAAATAATAAATCCTCATCAGCAATAGTGACATTTAATCACCGAAATCGTATGAATCATTACGAATAATTATAATATTAGATGTATAATAGCAGTTGATGATATACAATTTTAAATCGTATTCATAAATTTAATATTTTTTTATTATCAAATCGTCATATTGATTTTAAACTACCTAATATAATATATTTTTTATAATTTATAGTCCTCGGATTCAACGAGATGGATAACATTTCATTTACCGATGGGAAATTAGACGTGTATTGTCTTTTATACATGATAATCATGTCGAACAAATTTACGATTTCCCGCGATTGTTGCAGCAATAATAGTGGTTAAAAATTAAGATGAAAACGAAAATGAATAAAAATAAAATACAACGCCAACATCGCTTCTGGGAGTTGGATAGGTGGTGAATCGACGAACGTGCAAATTACCTCGCTGAATATAACTAGGATTTTAATACCACAGTTGCGAATATAGTGATAATATTATATAACGCATGTATTTAATGACGAATTAAAAAAAATGGCCTGTCTGGAATACGTCTATCGACGGAAGTGTATTGAATACTGTCTTATGAGTTACCGAATTGTATTAGAATGAGCCATAGGCGTGTTTTTCGAATAATGTAATCGAACTGCAACAACGTAAATTAAAGGTCTCGATTTTCAATTGTTTTCACTGAGCATGAAATAAATATTTAGTTCCTGTGTTTAAACCTAATAATATAAGACACACTTTATTGATTGAAATGGCTGATTGATTTTTTACCGACAATTTTGTAGGGGTCGAAATATGTGAACGAAATTAAGTCGAAGGGTAACATCATTTAGACCACTGGCTTAATTAATATACACGTGGAGGCACAAAAATGTCGTCTCATGACCGATCGCAAGTAATAGATACCGAAAACGCCTGACGTGGTAGATTTTGGCATGCTATATTATTGCCGCATTAATCCTGCGATCTACTCACGATATTATAACTAATAATAACTATTGATTTTCATGTTGTTATTATTTTTCTCGTTGTTTTTATTGGTACTCGGTCGTCATATAATTTAATGGCAGGTGGGAGAGGATCATTAAAATGCTGGGCGACGGTGATTTAGTAATACTTTTTGACAGGCGACAAATGTCATCAAAAATCACGGCGCTTCCGTGAGTACGCGCTCGAAAATGTTGTTGGTAGTGGTAGTAGGGATTTAGATGACATCGTTGTAGTTTAAGACTACATCGATATTAAATGGAAGTGTACCTCTCTGCAAGTACACGTGTAGTTGGCCTCCGTGAGACGGACTACCTCTGTAGTCCGATTACAGACGATACGCCGAGTCTTAAAGTCGAACACTAATGTACTTATATTATTATATGTAGCTTTAATATTATTATCATACTTGGACTACCAAAGTGTTCGCCGACCATAACATTTTTGAATTTATTTTTTTTTTGTTTCATGTTTCTTCACCCTCCTGACCATCGTCCACATATTTAACCCCGTCACACGCTGTACACACTCAAGGTGGTTGCAAAAGCAATAGCGAACGACGCAAATTCGATTTCTCACAAAACTGCGAATTACAAAAATGATATAGGTAATCATTTTTTCGTCCACGCCGAAATGTCGTATTTGATATATTATAGATAAAATATACTTATTGAAATGCAGTCATTTGAACACGATCAATACCAAAGCATTAAATATATATATATACATATATGTATATACATAAAATAACGGTACAAATGACTATACATTATATTATAATATGGACTTGGTTATTGGTGTTATGCTTAAAGAAACAGAACGTTTATATTATTATATATAGCTATTATTATTGTAATTATTCATATATATTATAAATACATTGTGTTGTATAATATTATAATACAATATATTTTATATTTATTCGAACGGGGCAGCGAGGGGATTTGGGAAAATGGGGATATCCAAAAAAAAAAAACAAACAAATTACACTTAATCATATTTAAGATAAGTCAAAAGAAGAGAAGAAAAATTATAATATGTATATATAATGTTAAATTAAACTATTGACGAATTATATTATTATTAATTTAAAGATACGTTTAAAACCGTAATAACAATAATATTTTAACAACAATTATATTTAATTCAATATTTTGATAACAAATTAAAAAAAAGAAAACGAAAAAACGAAAAAAAAAAATCAATGACAAAGAATAATTTTAAAAATACGTAACAAACATATTATAATAATAATAATAATAATGATAATAATAATTATAATATATTATAGTCTATTGGTTTATCATAATAATTGTTCGTTAAAAAAAAAAAAAAAAAAACAAAAAATAATAATAATTATATTAATAAAACAAAAATTTGATTATCACCGTAAATAAATAAATATGAAATAGCAAAAACGAAAAAAAAATTAAAACCGTAAATAATTCACACATCGAATCGGTGGTTGTGAAGGTGGAGGTATTGGTGGTGGTGGCGGTGGCGGTAGTTTATTTGAGGGAGAGGTGAATTAAAAATATTATTGTGGCCCATTATATTATAGTTAAAAAAACCAAAAAATTACACTCATGACGAGCGACCGTCATTGTGTTATTATTATAATTTTAACCATTATAATAATAAAACATTTACCCGTCGGTTTGATAAGTAATTATTATTTTCCAATATATTATATTATCATAGTAAATAAATAATAAATACGTTAGTAATAATTATTATACTATTAATATGATCAATCTAAAAATTAAACTTATAAACAATTTATATCGTTCAGCAGTGTGCTAGTTCGATGAACTTTTCCGTTTCAAAATTTGTTTTCTACTTCGCAACGCGTATTTTTAAACAGAATTAATTAATTTTTTTTCGTAGCATTATAGGACGAGAAAATCAAAGATGTATACAGAATATATAATAAATGTAGTTGTGAACCAATTTTCGTGGCGATTAAAATGTGATCAGGTAATAATAACAACAAAACGGCGATGTCGTCGAGAGTCGCGTCTCAGTGGATGGACACGAGATTAATTTTATTTGCACTGTGTTTAATATAGTAGATGGGTCGAATGCTGAATCACGTCTTCTTTAAGTAGTCGAATCTGATCTAAGTAGTCGAATCCCCCCTGTAGAGGAAATATGATTATATTATGTTATATACCTAACACAGTTCATATCATAAGTGTATAGTATTATACACATTATTGTTGTGATTATATTTTACGAAGGTTTCTCGAGACGCTCATCAATTCGACGACAATTGATAATATTATATCAGTGTTATTCGTTATTACTACTGCCTAGATATTGTGTGTGTGATTCATTATGAGATCTTAATTAGATGGTCTTGATTTGTTTTTTTTTTCTATTCTACAATTATTATACGGCTGCGCCCTTATTATTATAATGAGCAACACGCGACAATTTTTTTTTCCGATTTTCTGGTTTGATTTATCGTTCAGAGATTATAATTAGTTTAGGTATAGTTATTATTATTATATAATATAAGTATTAAGTTAATATTATTAAATTTACATATTTTGGGTAATTTCATTTATATAATAATAAAAACCCTAAAAAAAAAAAACGAATATAATAATAATAATTTTTTTTTCTTTAATGTAATTATCTTATATATTAATTTTTTTTTATTTGTTATCATAATATAAACATTATTAATATAATAAAACATGTTTTTTTTTAATTTTAAATCATTATAATTATTATATAATATAGAAACGATTATTATTAATAGCATTATTGAGAAAGAAAACCTTTGGTGTAAGTGAGAGTGAGTGAGACGTTTATATATATATATCTCTGGTGATAGTTGTGAGTTATTGAGTCAATCACACGCATAGGGGCGACTAATATCGGTCAACCTGTAATAAGATAGTAAAAAAGAAAAGGTCAGAATGATAAACAATACGTATAAATTATTATGAATTCTTTTTGAATAAAAAAAAAAAAAAAAAAACAATGATTGGACGATGAGATTTTTATGAATGAACAACAATGACCTTACGATGGAAGAAATTTATTGACTCTTGCGTTGTTCAGTGGTACCCATTGGTAAAAGCGGCCGGAATCAAAGGCCCCTGAAAAAAAAATACAAAACTGGTTAATACAAATCGAAAAAATTAAAAGTAAATAAAAAATGTCTTTTTACAAAAGGGGCGTTGTGTGCCGTGTGGTATGTGTGTGTGTGTGTGTGTGTGTGTGTGTGTGATGTTGATAAACAAGCCAAACATATAAACACGAACGACCACCGATTACACGACGTTCCATGACATTTTCGAGGTCTGTTTTGACATTACAATATTATATTATATTTTCAATAAAGTATGGACATTTTAAACTTGTTGTGACGTAGATCACGTAGTGATAGTAATATTGCAATGTCGTCAACATGCATCGTTTAAAATGATCAGATAACGAGGTCGGGACAATTCAGTCTCGTGTACGTATAGGGAGCGTGTTATTAAAAACATTTCCAGTTAGTAGTTAGGCAAATTTGTACTATTCAAACGCAACGATCGAAACTCTCTAGTCGATTAGTTGTGTAGCATAGCAATAATAATATATAGTGTCAGTTTTCAATCATACGTACACATTTATACAACAGAGTAATAGCGTATATACATTTTCAAAGTTATATAAAAGTTCAATCGATTAGACTGGTGAAATAAATATAAAAATAGTTGTGTCTAGCAGTCAGATATATAATAGGTTCCAATGTTCTGCACCTAACATACATTAAACTAATTACTGATATATAGATAAGAAAAAAACTAGTTTTCGCATTAATATATATATATATATAACTATTATGAATTGCAATTTATTTGTTTAACAAACTTGCTATATTAGGTGCAATAAATACCAATTAAAAACATTACAATTTTATAACTAATACAAAATCTAATAATTTCAGTCAAAATCAGTAAGTGTTAATAGTATGGTGTACACGGACAATAACACGATCCATTAAACTACAGCAGAGAGAAACAATACCTACGATATACAGATAATTGTCTCCAATAAATCTGTGAAATTGAAATTCGAAAATTATTTTAAAATTATATAATGTAATATGATTGCACAGCAATCGAAACTTTTCAAACATTTTATATTACACTGTACATTATGTCATGGAAAAAAAAAAACAAAATGACAACGACAATTTATTATCTTCCTATAAGAATCTGAGGCTAACCAAAAGGTTTCGTGATGATATTATTTTCTAAATGTTTTTTTCGTGTCTATTTTATTCTATCTTGTCGGTAGGCCACGCTCTACATCTCGGTACACGTTTATTTTGAGCCTGACTTAAAATTCTATTTCACATTATTAATTAGCATCGGGTTTTAATTATTCGGTAACACAGAGGTAGACGACGACGACGACGACGACTATTACCTCGAATATGTGGTTTTAAAGGCAATGTTTAAAAAATACGGAATTGATTGGAGAAGAAAGAGAACGTATTATTGCGATTTAATTACCTTTTTTTCCAGTTTGAGAGATATTCTTCAATGCTAGATCTAAGGTAATATTTATACAAAACGTACACTCAACACTGTCAGTCATATTTTAAATAAAAATAATTTATAACGATTTTGTAATGTGATCCGAAATACGCATTTTCAACGCGGAATTTCTCTCGAAAATAATATAATGTTTTATCGAAGGTTCTGCGAATTTTTACAAAATATTATAAGCCATGATATGTAATAATATAAAGTTTATTAATATTTCCTGCAGTGAATATTTAGATCAGTGGTGGCTAGGACGGCTAGTAAAATGAGACGCGCATTACCTCTCAATAAACGTGCTATAAATAGCTATAAATTGATACATTTTCAATCATATTAAACGTTTTAAATCATTATAATATGTCAATTTTTTCGATGATTTTTTTTAACAAAAAATTCGTATTTATTTTCTTCCTAGAAATACGTATATTGTTTGTAATAAATTGTTTTACACGATACAAAATATATGATTGGTTTGAATAAACTATAAAGTGATAGGAAAATCCACCAATTGTCCCTAGTCTAAAATGCACAGCTATGGTGAATGGTTTTTTTGTTTATAAAACAATAGTATAGTTAATCTCCATAAAATTTATGTTATAATAATAATAATTATTATTATTATATTATTATAATTCAAATATTTTGTTGGTCGGCGCGTTGTATAGGCAATTTCGCTACATGGGTGTGTTGCGACTAGCGAGGTGGCTCGCGCTATTCTCGATAAACGAATTTTAGAATGGGAAATTAATCCATTGTCGAATTTTCATTATATTATTAGAAACGCCATTTCGATGTTGCACGAATTGTAATAAAGATTTATTAATTCATTATATAAACGATTGTTATTGTTTTGTATGTGTGTGTTTTATTCGATAGGGGAGGGGAATGTCGCATCATTAAAACAAATAATGTATATACTACCAAAGCTATCACTGGTCAGAATATGTGGCAGTAACGGATCTATAATATTATAAATATATTTTAATATTAAAATTAATATTATATTTTAAAATATACAGTTTATACGTGATTTTTAAGAAAAAATTAACTATTCAGTCTGTTCAGATTTAATTTAAATAGAAACCATTGACCCGACATTATATGTTTATAGAGATACGACACACAAGCGAGTATTAAATTAATTACAACAATGACTTAATGATGTTCAAAAAGACGATTTATGAAGGTTAGGGTGGTAACTGTGGTCATGCGTCAAGAAAACGTTTTGTTTGAGAGGAGCTGAAAATATATAATTTATTTATTTTTATTAACTACAAAAAGCGTCATTCATGACTCATATGATGTATTTGTGTATTATGAATGCAAATCAAAGGACTATCGTATTTCTTAACAGTATAATATAACTTTTAAATTTATATGGTTAATTAATAATAAAAAATTAAGTTATCTGATGTATACGATGCGATTTACTCGTTTTGTGAATAATATCGATGTGTGGGAAATACTAAATCGAAAAACACAAATTGTTGTACATCAAGATGTGGTCGATAATTAATAATGTATTTAACTTGAAATGAAAGATTTAAAGTTATAAAATTGTCCACCACAACGGACTTTCCAATTATAGCTGATATTTCAACCGGAGAAGAACGATAACGGAAAAATCGGCTAATGACTTTCTCCAGACCTCATGTCCCGTCTCCGAGGATCACTCGAATTGTTGGTCAATATTTTTAGCAAATATAATAATACCAATATACGATCTCATATTTTCTTTCGATTATAGCTTCTAACAATGTTTACCTAGTGATAATAAACAAAAAAAAATCTATAATTTTGTAATATCCAAATGTATAAAATAATAATATAACCGCATAGTTAAAAATGTAATGAATAATAAACTTAAGGTTTATCAAAATAAGTAATTAAAACAGTATAAGTATACTATAAACATCGCTAAAAACGCATAGTATTTTATTATTTAATAATACAGTAAGGAATTAATTACGAATATAATAATATATGGTCACGAGTTCCACAAGTCCATATTCTGTTTTAAAACGCGTAAATGTTAAGTCTATATTTTTAACTTGCTTTGTACTAAGACAAAGCTACCGACAGACTATAGGTACCTACCGAGAGACAGTAATTTAATAATATATAGACTTGCAGAGAAATATGCTTTTGACTACCTAGTGCCTACTTTTTTTTCATTATTAATGTTATCAATGCGGACCAGCAGTTGTACACTCCAAGGGAACATAATATTTTTTGCAACGTCGGCAACTCTATACAGTCTACACGACAATAATAATAAGTCGTAGTCTGTCTCGTATATTTTTTTCTTTAAAAAAGGAAAGTTTTCGAGAACAGACCTCGGTAACGTCCGGGCTAGAGTTCCAGAATTGATGCGCTATAAATGGGTGGGCTGCACGTGACACAACGAGTGAGTGCACATATTATTATTAGAAAAGTATACAATGGCCGAGAAAAAGGGATAATATATGAGCCTTGAAAGACATCAAAAAATGAAAAAAATGCTAAAAATCATTTTTTTACTATTCGATCTATGTAATACTTTTTTTTAAATGAAAAAGTCATCGGTGAACCAAATTTATATTATTACTAATATTATTATTATTATCATACGTGTGCGAGCTATCATGGGAGTCCAGGAGGGATGAGTGACAAATAACATCAACATTTCAATATATTATTGTAATTTTATCATATTACGAAGTTGGTTTGTTTTTTTTCAAGCCTACGCTCGTTGGATTGTCTGAAAGATATAAAATGTGCATTTCCATGTATAGTATAAGTGTGTGTGTGTGTGTGTATTTAGGAAGGTATATTAACTCTAACGAGGATAGTAGGCAGATGCATTGTGTGTATAATACGAGTGAATAGTTATAATAGTTTGTCGCGGAGACGCGATTCGAAATACGTCGGAAAGTTTGCAGGTGAGCGGACACCACAACAACGACGACGATGACGACGACGACATACGTTACCAGCAGTATTTTAATTTATAATATTTCAGAATCCCGGGGGAAAGGATGCGGACTAGGAGGATTTGAGGCAACCAGGCATACCACTCGATCCCCCCTCCCCCGGTGAAGTGATTAATTATCCGAGGGCGGCGATGACGGAAGTTGAATAATGTATCAGCGCTCGCGGAATCCGAAGCAAGTGAATATAACACGAGCGCACACACATGATCAACGTACGCGTCTTCCGACGGACCTGCCACGAGGGTGATGTGGTTATAGTGGTATAGACCTTAGTTGGGAGCTTATTGCATATTTGTGTGCGTTAGTCGGGAAGCGCATATTCCTGCAGCATTCGAAGGGATTTGACTGCGCAGGGTTTTCGGGAGGGTGGTATTATAAGAGTGGGGCTTGATGTTGATATTGGTACTAGTTAACAAATACTACGTTTTTTCAAAGAAGATTTCCAGTTCGGGGAATGAGGTTGACCCGTTCCGACCGTTACCATGGTACGACTGAAACCGGTAGACCACTAAACCGGTCTGTATACTTTATATTATATTATTATGCTTGCAGCATCGAACGGCAGATGGTATTATTTTATTATTCAACTGTCGGTATATTATAATTCGCTAACAAAATAAAAAAAACAGTCGTGAGCAAATAAGATGTTTTTTTCATTTTACAAACTCCCTATATGTATACAATATTATATTTTCGTCCTAATCATTCTGCTAAAACGTACATAGATACTATCATTGTCGAAAAGTGAGGTTGCGCTAGAGTGTTGATTACAATTTCATAATATTATTAAAACTTAAAACACCGTCTAAACGAGTCTAATAATGCTATATCGTGTATTAAATTCGATTCGGACGACAAGAGAGGAAAAGCAAAAAAAAAAAAAAATACTAAAACTGTAAAACTGTAAAAACGTGTTGTCGGTCGGGACGCGTAAACGGTCGTCCACCTCAGTTTTCCGACAATTTTAGGTTAGGATTTAACCCAATACACCTATTCAACCTCACGAGGGAAACCCGGCGAACCACTTTATATACATAGTGTAACCGATAAACACGCGACGATAAAACAATATATTATAATATAATATTACCTATTAGTTATTACATATTTTAATATAATATTATATACACAAAATAAATCACACACAATAATACAATAGTTTAAGGCGTGCGGGAAATGTGCCTGAGGAGAGTGCGAATCGTGCGGGGTGTCTGTAATATATAGAGCGTACACACACATATAATAATAATAACAATAACAACAACAACAACAAAAACAACAATTATTTCAGCACAAAAATTATTTGCGGGCGTTTTTACGAGATATACCTAACCCCGTCGGCGGTCACACGGCAGCAGCTACACAGTGTAGGTCACAAAAATATACATCTAGGCGGTTTGTGTGCGAATGGGTGTATACTTGTGTGTGGGTGTGTGTATGTATGTGTGTGTTTGTATGTGTTTGTCGTTTAAGTTTTGGTCAAGACGATTTAAAACAAATACAATATCATGTTTTAAAAGTAATAGTAGTAACAATGACTTATAAAAAGAAGGACTGCGCTTAAGGTGAGAGAAAGAGAGATCGAGTCATCGTCGTCGAGGAGTGTAAAAAAGGGTATATCAGAAATTCGAATAGTGACGTTTGAATAAGTGCTGGGAAAAATTGACGTATTGATATTTTTTATAAGGTTTGCGGCTCTTCATATTCTCTCTCGTCGTTCAATTCGCCTCGTCCAGCTCATCTTGGCATACGGCAACCGTAAGCACAGACTGTTTGGTATTTTTTTAAATTGTACGAGTTTCCGAGTGCCAATATGAACTGGACACCCATTTACAAACATTCGATTTGCATTTTGATGGGGTGGTGGGGAGGGTGGGGCGAGGAATGCGCAGTCCGTCTCTCCATTGGGTCCACGTCGAGTACGGTAAGTAGTTGTGTAGTTGGTGTCAAGTAAGAGAGAAATGTAAAAAATAAATAAAAATAAATAATAAAATTATAAAAATAAATTTTATATCGTTACAAACCCTTACGCAAATCGGACTATATACCTACAGGATTGTAATTAATGGGCGCACGTGAGACGGCGATCGCGGGGAACGCGGACGGTTGCGGTGACGCTGCTTGTACGTAATCGGCCGGGTTCGAGCTGTACATGTCCATGGTGGACGGGGCGCCGGGGCCGGGCGACGTGGCCGGCGGGAACGCGGCGGCCCGCGGGTTGCCGGGGCCGCCGGTGTGCGGCGACGCTGGTGGCCCGAAACCTTGTGCGGCGACCGCGGCTGCCTGATGGTGGTAATTGCTCATCACTTGAAAAATACACACGCACGGTCATTTGATAAACATAATACAACAATGTAGTTAGTAGGTATAGGTTTAGTGTTTATTATGATGATAGTAATAGTAATAATAATAATAATAATAATAATAATAATAACAACAACGACAACGATAATAATATTTTATATTATATTATCTCGACACACTAAATCCGAGATAACGACATTGTAAAACTACTACACAATACGATATCATAATAATATAATATATTTTATACCTACGTCGTGTTTAGCGTATATTACAATAAAACAAAAACGTCGTGTTGTTAAGACACGCTATTCAATCGGAAAGTCGTACGTGTTTATGTTATTGTGAGTTGTGCCGAGACCGGGCGAAACGTCGTTAGTATTATTTTGTATTGTTTTTTAAATTTGGTTTTTTTTTGCGCACAGTTCTAGTACATTATTAGAACGAACACTCCAGCAGCGGTTACGAATAATATTATAAATGTTATGACGATTTTCCGATCAAATCACGTGACACACCTTACTGTACAATATAATAATATTATATTATTATACATACGATTCATATACTGCAGCAGTGTAATATATAATATAATATTTATGACGTGTACGATTGAAAAATTATTCATCACCGGTGTGATTTGGTGGTGAAGTTGTACACCCCACCCTCTGGTAAAATATCATTAAGTGAACACTGGATTACTGGTCGAATTTCGGTAGGTAAAAAATCACTAGCTGATATTTACGTCGGTACGTTTTTAAGCCAAGGTAAAATTTCACTAGTGACCGAGAGGTAAATTTTCACTAGAGATGTTTCACCGAGGGCTGGGGATTCAATTCCATGTAGGGAAAAATCACGGAAATATCGGCATGATCATTGAATATTGCAGTGCTACTGATCGACTGTTAGACCGATACGCGATCCGGACGGAAAATAATTATTGCAAATTTCGAATTCAACCAGTCAATAATCCACGGCATTGATCTTAGCAAAGGCGTTATCAATGATTGAATTCTTGAATTTTAAAAACGCATACAACAAACAATGATATACAATTGTTTAGAAAGTTTTAATGTTGAAAAAACCCATCAAAGTGACAAGTAATATTGAAAGCTTCTAACTTTTTTTTTGGTTAATTTTAAAATCTGTGTTCTGAACAATATTTTGTTTTACGTAGTACGTCACGACTTAGGCTAAAATGTATGTTTGGGATTTTATCCGATGAAATATTCGCAAACGGTATTTCATCGTGCATCAATATTGTACGCATGTAATCTAATAGTTTACCTGTGCAGTGCGTATGATTTTTCAATTAAATCACGTACTGCAATATAATACATTTTATAAACATGTACAGGTGGATCCATTTAATCAGCTGCACAATGTCACAATGTTGCTGTAAATGATTATGATTTTGGAAATTTATGAGCTATAAGAGCACGTTAAACTGTGGTCGACCAACGTCGAGTAATTAATTATTTAATTTATATGATTATGTAAGCAAATATATTTTATACTGGTACGGTTATGTCGACAATGTTATTGTTACGACTGTCCCGTCTTTTGTGTATGTGTGTGTGTGTGTGTGTGTCTGTGTATGTGTGTGCCTGTGTCTGCCTGTGTGTCTGTGTGTCTGTCTGTGTCTGTATTTTTATACACAATTTTAATATTCCTAGTATTATAATATAATACTATATATTATATAGGTATACTTAATGTTATATAATTATATATTATGCTAAAGTGGACCTCGAAAAACTTGCTGTTCTATTCAAACATTTATATGATATTGGTAAAAATTAATAAAAAACAAATTAAAATATATTAGTATATAATCATACAGGTAGGTTATAAAGAGTATAAGTTATACCAAAATGTACAAGTGTATGTGTGTATTATTATTATTATTATTGTTTGGTTGCATAATATTATTGTATATAACATATACGGCGCACATCCGAGCAAATGACAGTCAGGTTTCTGACAGTCATATTAGAGGTGCTTAATAATATTTTAATAGTAATAAACTAAATAATATATCATAGTACCGCGTCTGAATATCACACACACACAACTACACAAGCACTCATCATCGTAATGCCGATGGGGAGATTTTATATATTATGTTATATATATATAATTTAAATATTTAAGAAATAAGGAAAGAAAATAGGTGAAAAACAGCAAACCGCCACTGATAAGCCAAGCAAAAATACATTATACTATAGCGTGATAAAAAAAAAAAAACGGTTTGATCAAGTTTTCCTTTTTTCCGTGAGAAATTTTCCATACGCATCATTATAACATCCTCATCGACCGTTACATAATGTAAAAGAAAAAATTATAATAAATTCGTCAAGAAAAAAAAATGTCTTTTCTTCAGCTTAGGGTATAGTGGAAAGCTTATGCATTTTGTTTTATTCTTTAACTGCAGTGTGTCTGACACCCCCACCGCTTTCTACGAGGTGATGACATTATAATAGGTAACTACAATTTTTGATGCCCACGTCATGAATTCAAATTTTGATGCATACCTGTATACTGTATCCCATAATATTAAAATAGTTACAGCAGTATTATTCTTAATCTTATTATTATTATTATTATTTTTTACTATTTTTATTGTAATATTTTATTATAAAGGTATGTGGTACGTTATAATACTATACGGTTATATTCTATAATATTATTAATAGCTGAATTAAACATGACTGACGATTTACCGTATCGCAAGTACATAACATATACTTATAGTATATTATATAGAAGCGATCGATCAATCGGATACATCGTCCTGAAATCGTAATTTTAATTTTATCTTAGATGAAGATGCAGAAACAAATTTGTATGTACTAGTACTGTTCACGTGTGAAAAATGCAACAAAAAGAGTCTGAAAACATAGTTTCATTTCGGTTCACTAGCTACACTCGTGATATTACGGGGATTGAAAACGGACAGTTTTAAGTACTTGAGAATAGGTAATTTTTAAATTGTTTGTATGTGGGTATTATAAATGTGTGAGTTATAAATTATCATTAGTGTGTGTGACTAGGGTGTAAATAAGATAGTGGAACGCTCCCACACGCGCCTTTATAAGTCACCACCAAGTTGTTGCGTCCGTAAACAGTGGACCTAAAAACGCGTTAAGACTTCTAAAGACTGATTTGAATTCGTAATATGTCTACTTGAGATAGACCAGGGCACATTTTAAAATGTTTAATTTAATTGTCAAATAATCAACACTTACGATTTTGTACATTTGAAATATTCAAACAAAATGTATAAGAGTATAGGAACAACATTTTAAAAAAGTGGCTTGGTTGATATTAATTCGACATATTTACTAATTCAAACCATTTTTCAGAAGTTTTTTTGCATTATCAAGACCATGATTGACAAAAGATTGGTGCATTTTGGTTGAAATAATTGTCCGTTTGTAGCCCCCTTAAATCAAATACATTATTATATGGCTTTATCGTTTTTGTGTTGTAGTTTTCAAACCGCATATTATATCACTATTATTATTATTATTATTATTATGATCATCATTATTATTAAACTTAAAAGTCATCAAAATATTATTATTATTATAACGCGACTGCGAAAATGACACATAGATTTGAATTGAAGATAATGTTATATATTTTTATGTACGATCAATGCCGGGTAATGGTCGATTAAGTAAGCTTGCGCCGGACGGTAATTACGCAAAAGTATACAATAATAATAATAATAATAATAACTATTATGATTATAATAATAATACTGTGGAAATGTTGTGTGTATGTACATAATGCATTATATTAAAGGTCTGTCATGTCCCGATCTTTTTTTTTTTAAATACCTTTATATGTATTGTGTATATATACCTGAAAGGGTACGGTGTGTTATTATTGTTTGGAGTTAATATTATGATATGATAGTTTGTCAGAGATCAAATGCAAATTACAACGACATGCGATACGTTATTATATTGGCGATATTTAAATGCGAATTGGTTGTGAAAAAAATGTTTACACAAAACGCATAAAAACATTTTTCATTTTGCGTTTTGTCAATATACACACCACTTAAAATAAGAACTAAACACATACCTACAAAATTACGCACAATAGTTACTCGCCTCGTTTGCACCAGGACAATATTTGTTTTCATCAATCAATATTTTTGAAAATTATAATTTTTACCGTATACGAAATTATTTGTACGTATTATATTCTGTTATTATGACTTCGTGTTACATACCATTTGGTAAAAAACAAATAAAAAATTTTTTTCGTGTAACGTTGTTCAAATGTTCCTTATGTATATTATGTATCAAATATAAATATTATATATATATATATATACATAATATACATAAATACATATATGATATTACATAAAGACACAATTCATGTAAATGTTAAAAATTAAATTATTTACGAGTTACCAACCATTTAATATAGTTTTGTGCATATTTTAATGTATAGGGTAGCGATAGGAGTAAAAATATATTTTATTAGAATATAATTTAGAATGAGGGCGAGTCTGTACGTGTGCAAAATGACATCCTGTATGTATATATATATGTAAACATTTGTATACGTGTGTAATAAAATATCTATAAGTAGTGATATTATAATAATAGGTATGTAGGAAATGTTCTTTTGTTTCAAAAATATTTATACATGTATATATGATACGGAAAATTACGAAACACGAGTCTAAACAACAAAACATTCTATTGCAAAAACAAAACAAAAATAATATAGTAATAATATTATACAACTACACACATTCCTATATAATGTAATAATATGCATAGAAAGTTATATACATATATTATATTGTTCGAATGGATTCCAAATAATAACAATATACAAACACGATATATACATACTAATATAATAGGAGGTATTTATATACGAAATACACATCTAATCGTAAAAAAAAATATTTAATATACGCAATATATAATACATGTACCTACCTAATTGTACACATATTATTATTATGATA